GTCGCAACAACGTCTTCGGCTTCCGACGGCCAAACCACGGCGCACCGACGATGACCTGGGCTGGCCCTGCTTGAGTCCACGTCGTAGCCCTCCACCTGCCCGCGCGGACGCTTGGGTGTTCCGGCGGGACTGGCCTCAGTGACGCCTCTCGTTTCTCTTTCCCATCCCGAGCGGGGAAACCAAACCTTCCGGACGTTCCGTCCCCCCTTTCTTCTGTGAGCCTCGAGTGCGTGAGGGGGGGGGAGAACCTCGGGGGGCCGGCCCCTGCCCGCTCAACCCTCGCCTCCGCGGCGGTGGCTGGTCCGCGAGGAGGCGCGATGCCCTGGGCGCCTCAGCAGCGCACGCCTCGGCGCTGCGCCGCGGCCCGGTCGGCCTGCCGCCGCCGCTGCTATCGCCGGCCTTCTCCGGACCACAGCGCAGGGCACCAAAGCCCGATTACCTGCGTCTCCAGCAGCACTACTAGGGTGAGTCGCACGACGGGAACACATACATGACCAGCGCTGCCCGCTGCTTGAAAAGCACCCGGGCGCCTGAATGCGGGGCGCGGGGCTCCGCAAAAAGTGCAAAATGTAACGCCACCATGCTTCTTAAGCATATATATTATGAAAAAGTTACTTCTTTCATAGAAGCTATACGCATTTGCAAAGAAAATTGAGCAGCTGATTTCTTGGGGACCATGCGGCGAACTACGTCGTTCTTCCTCTAACTGCCAAATAGGCAACAAAATGAAAAAGAAAAAAAGAATACCGGCATATCAGTAAAATCAGTACTAGAGACGTCTTACGTCTTGTCATCGGTCACAGACGTTTCCTAAATACTAAGGGTTTCGGTGTTAGAACATGAGCTTTAAGTGCAAGCGTCACAAGCGATATGTTGAATTAGTGCAGTATCTGATGCCTTAACGACAGTTTACAGACCAATAAGTCATCGCCTGGTGTAAGGCGCATTACGCAAGGGATAAGACGGTATACGCGAGAGCGATGAGCTTGACATAGCTTCAAAGTATCTCCAATTGGATGAAGAGCGCCTCTGCAAGATGTGACAAGCTGTCACTGCGCAACTTGAAAGAACTCTCAAGCGCAGTTACCAAACTGACAAGGACGACGTAAAGACGTGCCGCGGTTATTTGCTAGAGGACTGCCTCTTTTTGCTTGCGAAACGATGTTCTCTATAAGAAAAACTTCTCACCAACGGGTAACCCGCACTTGCTCGTCGTGCCTGCCTCTCTTCGAAAAGAAATTATGGAAGCGTGCCATGATGAAGCAACTTCTGGTCATCTAGGGTACACCCGAACATTGTGCCGACTACGATGCAAGTACTACTGGCCAAAGTTACCTGCTGCGGTTAACCATCACGTGCGAACGTGCACCGACTGCCAAGAACGCAAAGCGCCTCCCAGCAAGCCAGCCGGTCTTTACATCCAGTCGAAGCATCAAAAAGCCGTTCACCGATTGGAATGGATTTCCTGGGTCCCTTTCCAACTTCCACAACAGGGAACAGATGGATTATTGTGGTCACTGATTACCTGTCCCGTTATGCAGAGACTAAGCTATGCAGCGTGGCACAGCAGCAGAAGCCGCTCAGTTTTTCATCGAACATCGTCCTTCGGCATGGCGCTCAGACAACAGTGATCAAGACAGAGGACCTGCCTTCACCGCAGAGCTTTGGAGTCGGTTCTCAGACTCAGCGGTACAGCTCACGGAGAACAAGTGCATACCATCCGCAGACAAACGGACTGACGGAGCGCCTCAATAGGACCCTCACAGACAATGATCAGTATGTACGTCGACACAGACATAAAACTGGGATCAGATATTGCCGTACGTGACCTTGCTTATAACACCGCTCGACAAGAAACCACTGGATGGCACCGTTCAGTCTGATCTATGGTCGCGAAGTCACGACAACATTGGACGCCATGCTGCCGCCTGAGTGTGACGACATCCATGTAAACGCCGAAGAATTCACTCAGCGTGCTGAAGAAGCCAGACAGCTCGCGCGCGTGCGCATCTGTCATCAGCAGCATCAAGATGCACAACGCTACGACAACCGACACGAGTTTGTTAGCTACTCACCAGGCGACAAAGTGTGGGTCTGGATTCTGATACGTCGACGTGGACTGTCTGAGAAACTGCTAAACCGGTACTTTGGTCCATACAGCGTGACGCGACGCTTGAACGACGTGAACTACGAAGTTGTTCCCCACACTAATTGTAGTTCTAAGCGCCAAAAGCGTTTGCCCGAAGTCGTGCACGTCGTGCGTATGAAACCATATTTATCGAGTTAATTAGCTCCCGGTTACCGTTTTCGTACGACCACTTCATACGCCTGGTAGAGCACCTAAGTTGCGCATCGGACGATGCTTACTTCTTTCGGAGGTAGGCAAATGTCACGTGCTTGCCCAAGAAAGATGATGGCAGTTGTGTATGTGCCACGAAGGATACGAAATGGACGAAGAAGAACTCGCTTGCGCGTTCTAATTAAAAAAGATCGGCCTGCTTCTGGTGTCTCAGTCTCTACGGCAGACCTCTGTTTTGACGTCGTGACAATTATATTATTATATTATATTATAATATATATATATTATATATAATATATATAAGGGAAAGAAGTGTATACCTAAGGGCTCGTTTTTCCGTGTTTTTTAACACAATAATAATGAGATATAACAGACAGTAATGCCAAGGAATGTACAGGGGAAGTTATTAACATTAATGGAATGTAAATAAGAAGAAAGAAAAGTGGATGAAAAAATTACCAACTGTAAGCAGGAATCGAACCTACGACCTTCGAATTACGCGTTCGATGCTCGAACGTTCGATGATCGAACGCGTAATTCGAAGGTCGTAGGTTCGATTCCTGCTTACAGTTGGTAATTTTTTCATCCACTTTTCTTTCTTCTTATTTACATTCCATTAATGTTAATACTTCCCCTGTACATTCCTTGGCATTACTGTCTGTTATATCTCATATATATATATATATATATATATATCTGTGTGTGTGTGTGTGTGTTGTGTTGGTGTGTGTGTGTGTGGATCGTGCGAACAGTAACAACGGAAGTGTTCATTTCGACAGCTTACGCCAGAGTCTTGCCTGCATGAGGATGCAGGCCGAAATTGTCAACATAAACATTTGATCACAAAGCCACTGAATATATTGTCATCAAATAATCAAGTCAGGTATACTATTCCCAGTTTTTAAAGATACACAATCTCCAATTAAGGAAACAATGTGGGGATGCCAAAGTTCCCTAGTGTTTCCATTGCTGTTACGTTTGTATGTTTCCGTGTATATTTCATTTGTGTGTGGATTGTGTATATGCTGCGTACTGCTTATGTTACGTCCCCTCCATTGTGTGTATTACCGTGCGTGTATTTATCATACCGCAAAGTGAATACCGCAGACTCGCTTTGCCAAGTCGCTTCAGGATTTGCGGCACGGCATTTCCGTTGCGTTCCGCTTTGCGTTGCCTCGCAGACTCGGAGTCCTCGGCTTGGCGTTTCCGTTTCGATTGCGCCTGACGTTGCCTCGCATCCTCGAGGTCTTGAGCTCGATTTTTCTATTGCGCTTCGACTTCGCGCTGCCTCGCAGTTGGAGATCCATTTACCGACGTTGCCGTTTACGTTCTGCGTCTTCAGCCCTCATCTGCTCAACGGTGCTGCTTACGCTAATGCTTTCACAGCTTGCGTTCCTGTCACAGTTTATGTTACCGATACCACTGCGGCCGGCGCAAACGTTGACGCCTATAGCGACCTTGCGAATGAGTGTGCTACGGGAGCGAATGCACGCCTAATTATATACAAACGCCCAGCTGGGACGGAAACAGAGAAACGGGAGAGGAGAAACAAAGTGGAGGCACCCTGCAGTCACGTCAATTGCGCCCGGAGAGAAGGAGAAGCGGAGAGTTGGCGCATGCGCAGTGGGAGAGCGGACGGGTGAAGTAAGGACGGACACAGCCCCGTGAAAAAGTTTCTTCGTGTCTAAAACTTTGCATCGTCCCAGAATCGTATCGTGCCGGTCAGCATTATCCTAAAAAGCTACAAAACTACTTATTATTTGTAGCTGCACGAGTGTGTCCAGGAAGTCATACTTCAAGGCATGGAAAGTACTATAGCAAACACGTGGATCCATTTTTTTTTTCCTATCGACAACCAACACATCCGAACTAATCCGACTGCCTCAATGAAACTCCTTTTGTGGTGTGGGGCGGTGAGAATGAAAAGAAAGAGAGAAAGAAAGAAGACCTAATACCATGCTTGAAGATGTCACCGGAAGAATCGAAAGAGGCTGTGGTGCACGAACAGCTAAATGAAGTGACCATGATCAAGAAAATCACATGTTCAGGAAAAAGTTCATAAAAACGTCTGAAGAGCATATGTGCCCCATTCATTTGTGCAGTATTGCCCACCTGACCATCTCGCCATTAGTACATCATTTTAGTTATGACATTATCATATTTAGCAAGAAAGCTCCATATTTTTCATATCATTATTTCCGTGTTTATCTACTCCCTCTTCCAGTTGCATTTAGCCACTTTCCACTTCCTTTAGCTCAAGTGGAGAGAGTCATTCCTTTATTTTCATGGTCACGAAGGAGCCATTTAAGGCAGTACCCGAGGGAAGCGCGCAGTGCTGGAGGCCACCGTCTTATGGGGAGCTGAAGGCACGGTTAGGCAACCGTGCACGTGCCGTTCACGTGAGCTCCAAAAGAAAGGGACGGGGCTGGCTTAACGAGACAAACTATTTGCTTCCGCGATTGCTTGCCCCGTGCGTTTTGTTTCGTCCCGCGAAGAAGGTGGCGCAGCATTGGCTGCGCGCTCGGCCCACGGTCGATGGTGGTCGCCCCGAGCGCTGGGTGCGCGGCCGCCTCACACACACTCCCGCACAGACGAAGCGCAGAGCTAGAACCCGAAAGTGGGAGGGTGGCAGCGGTTCCGCGCGCGGGGGACCGGAAGACAGAGCGGGAATCGGCAGCAGCCGCGGCGCGTCTGCGCAGTGCACAGCGCTCCCTCGGCGCTGGCCAACATGGCGACCCTCGATGCCAGACGACCTTCGGCGTCGCAACAACGCTTCGGCTTCCGACGGCCAAACCACGGCGCACCGACGATGACCTGGGCCCTGCTTGAGTCCACGTCGTAGCCCTACACCTGCCCGCGGCGGACGCTTGGGGTGTTCCGGCGGGACTGCCTCAGTGACGCCTCTCGTTTCTCTTTCCCATCCCGAGCGAGGAAACAAACCTTCCGGACGTCCAGTCCCCCCTTTCTTCTGTGAGCCTCGAGTGCGTGAGGTGGGGGGGAGAACCTCGGGGGGCCGGCCCCCTGCCCGCTCAACCGCCTCCCTCGCCTCCGCGGCGGTGGCTGGTCCGCGAGGAGGCGCGATGCCCTGGGCGCCTCAGCAGCGCACGCCTCGGCGCTGCGCCGCGGCCCGGGTCGGCCTGCCGCCGCCGCTGCTATCGCCGTCCTTCTCCGGACCACAGCGCAGGCAGCCAAAGCCCGGATTACCTGCGTCTCCAGCAGCACTACTAGGGTGAGTCGCACGACGGGACACATACATGACCAGCGCTGCCCGCTGCGTGAAAAGCACCCGGGCGTCTGAATGCGGGGCGCGGGGCTCCTCAAAAAGTGCAAAATGTAACGCCACCATGCTTCTTAAGCGTATATATTACGAAAAAGTTACTTCTTTCATAGAATCTATACGCATTTGCAAAGAAAATTAAGCAGCTGATTTCTTGGTGACCACGCGGCGAACTACGTCGTTTTCCTCTAACTGCCGAATAGGCAACAAAATGGAAAAGAAAAAAAGAATACCGGCATATCAGTAAAATCAGTACTAGAGAAGTCTTACGTCTTGTCATTGGTCACAGACGTTTCCTAATACTAAGGGTTTCGGTGTTAGAACATGAGCTCTAAGTGCAAGCGTCACAAGTGATATGTTGAATTAGTGCAGTATCTGCTGCCTTAACGACAGTTTACAGACCAATAAGTCATCGCCTGGTGTAAGGCACATCACGCAGGTGATAAGACGGTATACGCGAGAGCGATGAGCTTGACATAGCTTCAAAGTATCTCCAATTGGATAAAGAGCACCTCTGCAAGATGAGACAAGCTGTCACTGCGCAACTTGAAAGAAGTTCTCAAGCGCAGTTACCAAACTGACAAGGCGTAAATTGACAAGAAACGCTGCAGGCCCGAGTGCTTCTGACTGTTTTCTATTATTTTTGAACTGTTTTCTTCAAGCCGTACATAAAGCATAGAAAAGTGTAATGAAGAAAGTTCAGCAGATGTAGCGCCATCGCCATCGTTCTCATAGTAAGTACATCTTCACCGACGCAGTGTGAAATAATAAGGAAGAATACTACTGCAGTGACGGAACGAGAAGAAATCATCTTAGATTTGTTCCCTCAGTGCTCGTTTAACAGACCTGACAGCGTTCCGTCAAAAGTCTGAATCACGTCTGTTATCAATTTTAGACTGTGCCAAGCAGAAAAATATGTAATTTTTTTATTTAAGCTCATTAACACGCAAGCACTGTATCCTTGAAGGTTAGTGCCCACTCGTACAGCTGCCAGCCGATCCTCTGAAAACGCTCATTTTAAGAACCCTACTGCCTTGACCCCTTTTTTGTCTCTTTCAGATGTGTACAGGCACGAGTTATCGATCAGAAACCCTAGAGTGCGCGTATGAGTGTGCGTTGTGTTTTTTGTATCCTTCCATTATTTGAGAAGCACTAAAAGGCCTCTCCGTAGTAAAACAATGCCCGAATAATACCGACGATCTCATTTTAGGTTCATGGTCACCTCCCGCCTTGGTCTCCTACATCACTTCTCAGTTTTTTATGTCATGACGTGAAATTAGCGAGGTCAGAAAGTGCACAATTAACTGGACATCCGTTTTCATGCGTGTGAATCGACCGCAGCACTAGGCAATACATTAGGCCAACTTTAACGCAACAAGATGGCGGCACTCAAACGAGTTCGTAAATTATAATGTTAAATACAGTGTTGTATACTGTTTCACATGCAAGAACAGAACTACTGGTTTACTTTGAGAGAAAAATCTACAGTAATTTCACCATCCACTTAAAGTGCCTTGGTCAATGACTTAATGACTTTCGCGCAGCACTGTTCATTACGGATGCTTCCCGACTGTGCACTGCAGTGTTACACATAGCTGAACGCTCAGTTTTGTTTTGTTTTTTTTCTTAAAATGTGGCTTACCCTACCGACTGCTTCAAGCCTCCGCAGTCTGGCTCAAACACGTCCTTGAAAGGCCAAAGGTCATGTCATGCTGGACATACTTATTCTTGTTGAGTCATGCATTCTCACCAAGTGCTATTGCATTTGCTGAATCATTCAAAAGAATACCATTCGAGGATGTCAAAGATTAACTAGTGCTCCTCTAGAAAAGCGAACATTAGGTCTACTTGATTGCACATGAGTAAATTATGCAGCACACTATACTGAGACGCACAAAAAGAATTCAACGCAAGAGAAAGGACAAGTAAGAACAGGACAAGCACATATTGCACGTACAGAACACGCGGATTCGAACGCGAAAATTTGATGGATGTACTTTTGTTTCGAACGACCACAGTTCGCGTCATGTTATAGTTTTGACTCGAACACTTGCACAAGAGCCAACTTCTTCTAGTGGCCAGATCTGAAGTGAAATACGAATGTTATCGCGGGAAATCCCACAGAGCAGCTGTTATATTAATAAGAAAACGATGTCTTGTTTCTATCTGTACGTACTGTTCTTACCTGCACCAGTAGATTCTTACCTGCACCAGTTCTTACCTGTACCAGTAGTATTGCACCAGTAGCTCACTGCATCCCTTAGCTCGTACAAAAGGTCTCAAGTGCCTGCAGCAGTTGTCAACCGACAATACGACACACGGGGACTTTCCAACTTTGCTCAGCTGCTCCGTTGCCCATCAGGGAAAAGGCGTTGACGGCAGCCGAGTGTGTCAGCTCAGTCTTCGCTCCTTGGGACTGCCGGCCGCCTGTTGTACATTTTTATCACTTCCTTCGACCTGCACGAAATTGAAAAATGCGAGACCTTCTTATACTTCTAGCTTTTTTTACATCCCGATTACTTTCAATTAGCTCATTATCGCCACTTAATTAAGCTTGTGATGCTCACTACCGCGGAAAAGGCTATACATCACACGTGCTTTCGTAATAGGCAGCACACGAAACTTTTACAGTCGAGTAAGTGTTAAAATAAGCTTCACCCTCTATATCTTTTTTAACTGCATTGTTTCGTTTTGGCCGCACGTAAGCTTGAATGAAGGAGCTTTTGACTTAATCTTGCTGCTGCTTAAAGCTCTCTTTTTTATTTGTTCTTATTGTTTTGTTTTTGTCATGTCAATGTACATACTTTACAACTTTTATTGTTTGCACTTCGTCCTATCAGCTAGGAGTTCAATGGTCGCACGTTTGTTAGTTCCTCGCCACAGTATTATTCGCCCCTACCAGACAGAATAACTTCCACCACAACGATTTTTTACTACATTATTGCCAATGTCCATCTGTCCGATCTCCATGCACATCGCAATAGTTGCTATCAGATTTTCTATGCCCTGAGGGCCGTTTCTACCGCTTTTACGGGGTCCGAAACCTTTATTTCAGCGACTTGTATTTATGAAATCTTAAACTCGATCTCTCGATTTGCCTTGGCTCGGTACAGCAATTCTTTCGCATCATTACTCTTCGCAAGGCTGCGTGTATATATATATATATATATATATATATATATATATATATATATATATATATATATATATATATATATATGTATATATATATATATATATATATATATATATATATATATATATATATATATATATATATATATATATATATATATATATATATATATATATATATTATATCCTTGACTTGTGAAACATTCATCTGAATTGTCTCTCCTGATTTCATCCTTGTGACTCTTGTTTTAACAGCAGAGCTGTTAAATCTTGATGTAACGCAGGTGTCGTATAACTAAAACTCGCTGCTTACGCGCCACAGAAAGCGGGTTGTACCAAGCTGCTCCCAGTACGGCATAGTAATGCATGGTATACTCTTGCATGGTGAATGGAAAGGAAAAAAGCTGACGAGGAGTGATGGGAGGCTGAGAAGGAATTAAAAGAGTAAGGAAGAGGGTGAAGCATACTTCTATACTTGCATACTTGCATACTTTTGTGCTTGTATGCTAGTATAGTGTGCCTTATGCGCCGCAGCTTATGTGCCAAGCAGCTCCTAACAAAGCATGACCATGCCTAGTGTATTGTAGCAAGTGGGACGGTAAGGGAAGTTAGCCTAGGAGTAGTCATGTGAGGATGAGGAGGAATGAAAGCACGAGGGGTGAGGGTGAAACATTGAATATATTTGTATAGTATAGTTTATGCGACACAGACAGTGGGTGTCTGCCAAGCATATCATCGCATATTCTCTTAATTCGGTGAGGTTAAATGCAATGTATATTCGGGAAATCAAACGAAAATGTTCGGTTTCCTGTCTATATCCGGTCATTTAGCAGTGAGACCTGATTTTAAGTGTAGCATAGTGTAGTGTATCAAGGGGGTGGAAACGAAAGAGAGTTGAGAAGGTGGGATGTGAGGGTGAATAGTAGGAAAGCAGGAAGGGAAATGGTAAAGCATGTGGCCTTGTATAGTATAGTAAGGGTGGAAACAAGAAGCATGTGTCAGGAGGAGCTGATAATGTAGGAAAGAAGAAAAGGAGGAGAGATGGTAATATAGAATGAAGTAAAGAAAGAAGGTTAAATGAGAGAAAAAAAGAAGGGGATGATGATGAAGAAACATCTACCAACAACTCAGTTTGTTGTTCGCTTGGTGGTGGATTTGTTCTCCACAGTTACCTCAAATTTCCCAGGCATGAAATTGGTTTTCATTTACTTAGTACACAATATTGGCAGTGGTGCCGTTAAGGTGATTCCTTTTAAGTGTTGTCTCGATGTCATCATCATGTCTGGGCTCAGCAAAAACCTTTTATAAGTAATTTCTCTTCTAGTAAGCAAGTCTCTGTGTACTGAACGAGCTTCCAGCATAAACGCTACAGTATTACAAACACTACATGTTGCAAACACTACGTGTTACAAGAACCGAAATGCCCTTAGGTTATCTCAAAACGTTACGCGATTGTGGCGAAAATAACAAGAACATGCTCGTATACTGAGTTCTAAGATGCTTACTCATCACACTCATCCGACTATCCGTCACATTTTTCAATAGAAAATCTGCAGACTTCACTTTTCTTTTTAAGAGGCTAGCAAGACAGTATTTGTTTGCTAGTTTTTCTACCGAGCTACCCATGCTCGCTTGCTAATAGGTGTGTATCTTTCAGGCAAGGCAGCGATGTTTACCGACTTTTGTCCTCTTTGCTATTTTACGCATAAGTAAAAAGGAAGGGATAAAAAATAAAGCGAAAAAGCAAAAGCGCAGACTATTCACATGCTCTACACATGCTCTATATATTATTAACATGCTCTACACAGCGTAACTCG